TAGGGGCGAAGAAGAAATAATATACACCCCCCCCCCCCCCCCCCCCCCCCTCTGGTCGATTGGTGCAAGAGCACGCGCGGAGGCTTTAGAAGCAGGTCCTCTGTTTTGGCCCACCCCCCCCGGAACATTTGTTTGTTTTCTAGAATAGTGTGTGTGTGTTTTAGGAGTCGCACTGCTGTACAAGCGTTACCTTTTTTCAGGGTGTGCGCGCTGGCTTCATCGGGGCTGCATCGGTTTGTGGACGGCGTGGGTTCTGCTCCGATGTCTTCTTCCAACCCGCGTCCGGTTTTGCTGTCTGTAAAATATCGTGACCGTTCTATATAATAAGTACCCCGTGAAAGGCGGAATGATCATTCCTTACAGTTTTGTGCTATGTGTTTGTCGTTTCGCCTGCGGTTTTGGGACAAATCTGTTAGGTAATGTTTAGCAGCGAGGTTTTTCCATGGTGCACCGCGATCGGAAAGTTTTTTGAAAGGGCGACTCGGGGCAGGGCGGCGCAATCCACTTGTTTCTCCGTGGGATACGTGGTGTGTGTGTGTTTTTCCTCTCTTCTCCCGGCGTCCTCTCCAGGTGGTGTTATAGTACTAGTTGTGTAAGACTTGTAGAGAGCCTTTTGTTTCTTTTACGCGCGTCCTTCAACAGGAGAGCGCAAACGTTTCGTTGTGGTGTTTTGCTCTCTTTGCTTTCTTTTTGTCGATCGGTGCGAACCAAACAAGGAATTCCCCGCACTCGCAAGCACTTCGTCGTTGTTTCGAAGCAGCATGCGGTGGTGGTAGTGGTGGCGATGGCGGTGGTGCATTTGATTTTACGAGATATCGCCACCAATATTGGTTGAATTATATCTATATCGTGTTCCCGATGTTGGAAATTGCATTTTGACTTGACTTTTGTGTGAATCAGTAACAACTTGAGCTCTGAGTTCCTTTGCGTGCAGGCAGAGAGACGGAGCAACAAACTACCCTTGTAGCGAACAACATATCGTGTGCCTGATATTGGAAATTGCTTGTTCACTAGTCTCTGTATGATTTGATTAAAACTTGGCTCTCTAAGTTCCCTTGCGTCCAGGCAGAGAGACGAAGAAACAAACAAACGAAAATGGGCGTACGTGTGCTACACCCCGAGCCAACTGGCACGCGTTCATCGGAAAAGAATGACTGCGGGTATTTTTCGTAGACTATAGGCTCTCACTCGAAGACTGGTTGTTGTTGCTATGCAGTACGCACAGGGTAGGCTAGAGAGCTTTGCACCGTTGCAACAGAAGAAAACATGGTGCTATAGTGCGCCATCCGTGTACCAGCGGTCAAGGTGGAAGTTTGAGGTCGTTGGCGGCGGTGGCGTGGTCAGATAGGTCTAGTGGATGGATTAATCTCATTGAACGAAGCGCCTCTCTCGATCCTCTTTTGTGTCTTGCTACGTGTCGGGCTGCGATCACCGAATAGCAACGTTAACGTTTTTCCTCGAGGTTGTTACCGCGATAGTCACAGCAGCACCAGACTTGATGGTCTATCGTCAATCCTGCCGTGTGTAGTTGCCACGTTGTCACCCTCTCCTGTCCCGAAAAGGCACTCGGGGACATTTCGACTCATGCGCACAATTTTTACCCGGGGTGCGAGAAGGGAACGTCATGCTACAGCGGCAAGAGTCCTTGCCTCCACAATGTGATTGATTGCTGCCGCCCCTCCTCTCGCTGCGTGTGCGTAGTAGGTGGCCTTCGCGCCAGCACACTAATCTACGTGCCCTTATTATCCCATCGGTTGTGTGTCAGTCGCTTGTGGTATCATCCTGCTGGTGATATTGCATTGTCTGCTGTCTGGTGAGGAGGTACGTCCGGGGGGTTATATAGAAGATGATATCTGGGGGCAACCCTTCAAATTTAACACACATATTGTAGGAGTCACCTATTACGTTTCTGTCTATCCCAGACAGCCTTCTGCCTCTAATCTAAGTGAAGAACTCCGAAAAAACATTTCAGGCACAGAATAATTCCCCCGCGGTGCATACCTCAAATTTTCAACTGACAGGATTCAGTTAGCAGCGCTTTTCCCCTTCTTCCGTCGATTGTTGTTGTGTACTCACGCACTGAACTAAACAGTGCTTTCTCAAATGGAGTCACACCTAAGTTCGAACCAACGGACCGTATAGGATACATTTAGACCACGCGGGCACCCCAAACAATGCACATAAATACCATGAAAAAAATGTTTTAAGCCCTGTTCCGGCGTTCAGGCCCGCAGCGTAGACAAACTCCTTGGCACCCACGTAGCTTCACTCACCGCTCAACACCTGCCCGAACATAAATTTGATAAACTGTACGGGGAAGAACTCGTTTCCTGTCCTACGTTTCTCGAAAGGGCGCCTACTCACAAACAGCATGGCAAGCCTTCAACATTGACACCGAAGTGTCCAGTTGGCTATACCTTTCTGACTGGCGTGGGAGGGTGGCATTGCAACCCTCCAACTGCTGTGGGTGAAACCGATGTGTCCTTCCGAACACCCCGGGTCGTCGCCGAACACAAGCAACGCATCCCGTTGTTCAGCAATATTTGGCCCGATGAGTCACTACGGGTTGGGAGAAATCTTAAGCTGTCCTGTCGAGGGCTCTCTCTGCGTAGCTTCGCGTACATGTACCCTCAAACAACATTGTATTATATGTACTTGTATTGTGTGCAATCCTACATACGGACATGCAAAAGGACGTTCCGATGTCAAGCCATCTTCCTCTCTTCTCTGTACAGCAAAGGTTCGTGGTCACCCTCCGAGGAGCCAGGGGAAAACGTCCTGACATCACCAACGCCGTCGCCATTCACCGCCCCCGAGTCCTCGAAACTCGTGTCCACGCCAGACCCTGCCGTCTCGCCGCAGCCCCCGCAAAAAAGTATCCGCCACAGTCGATGGATCCAGCCCATCCCTTCAAACATGGTGCAATCGATGCGACGCTCCAACCCCGTGCCACGACCGCCGTTGTTGTCACCACCCCGACGGTTGCTGCTACTGCCATCGCTTCCAACCTCGGAAGCACGACCCGCGGCGTAGGAGGCTGGTCGCAGAGTCCCGGCTGAAACTCGCGCGACTGCTGCCGCCACCGCGCCGCTGTTGTACCTCGTGCCGTGGAGGCGTAGAAGCTCTCTCTGCAGCTCGACGCTCACGGCCTGCTCCTGCTGCGTTCGCCGCTGGAGCGCCTCAAGCGCGCGCTTTGTCGTCTCGAGCTCTGCCTGCAGCTCGTCTACCCGCGCTTGGAGAAGCGGGTTGGACCTGTGTTCATCGGCTCGATGTCCATCCTCATCCCTGCTGCCGATTTTCTCACGACCGTTCCCACCTTCTTCGCCGACAGCGTCTTCATCTCGAAATGTATCTCTGCCTCGATCACTCCCGCTGTCGTCGTCCGACGAACACACGCCGCGGCGCTGCCCGGCACCACCGTCGCGCTCGTGCGACGCCGCAGCTTTTTCTCTCCACCGGAATTCTGTCCCCGCCGCCCGCGTCGTAGCCTTAGCCTCGAGCCGGAGCTGGGCGATCTGCGCGCGGAGGGCTTCGATCAGCTCGGCTTGCTCTTCGGCGTCTCTGAACATTGACGACAACCGGCACCGAAACGACCTCGACGACGCTGTCGATTCGATAGACTGTTTTCTCCTGTGAGTCCCTTCACCACCACCACCACCCGACTCGCGCCTCGCTCGGCAACCTGGTGGCCCTCCATCACCTGCCTCCTCCGGCCGCGGGCCGTCTTCTTCTCCTGCGTGGCATGCTTCTGTCTCGTCGAATGGTGCCCCCCCCTCCTGGACGCCGGAGCTACTGCTGGAGAAAAACGACCTTGGCTGCCGATCTCCCTCTGCTTCATCTTCCTCCTGCCTATCGTCCGGAGCGCCCCAACCAGCGCGTGCCTGCCGGTGCTCTTCTCCATCATCCCCGATGGCTTCTTTCATTACCCGGTCCAGTGCCGCTTCTTTCTGTATCAACGAGGTGCGTCTGAGAGCTGTGGCCTCGAGACGGGACTCCATGAGCTCTTCTCTCAGGGAGGTGTTGGCTTCCTCCAGGCCCTTGACCACCCGGCGCAGGCGCCCGATCTCTTCCCGGTCTTGCTCGTGCCTTGCGACATCCTCGGCGGCGTCAGAGGAGTTCTCGAGGACCGGAGAGAGCGGCCGATCGTCGGAGAGCGAGGAGCGGGCGCCGGTCCTGGCGTGGGCTGCTGGGGACCACAGGTCAAGCTCTTCAACCTGAGGTTCTTCAGCTGCCGACAAGAATGGATGTCCCGTAGTCGATGACGTACCAGGGGGGAGGGGGGGGAGGGGTAGGGTTGGAGGAGTGCACAGCAAGGATGTACGTCTCAAGAGGACATTCATGCGTTTCTTTGTAAACGAGGCACATCTCGAACACCACGCAGAGTAAACAAAACGGATCCCACGCAAGGGAACTACCGTCGCGTCTAAATATACTCTGCTTGTGAACCTCATTTCCACTGACGATCTAGACGTACGTGGGAGGGCCTCGGTCGTTGTATCTTGTTGCATCTGCTCACAGCGTTGGGTGGCGCTGTCCAGATCTCTCTGGAGCGCGTCCTTTTCGCACTCCGCCAGCCACTTTTCCTCTCGCACCGCCTGCATGAGCCCGCGAAACGCATTCGCCAAGAAAATCCAGGGTGACAGTGACTTTGAGGAACCAAAGGTGGAAAAAGAAATTATGCGGTTTGAATCGGCACCAGAGCGGGGTACCAAAACGGGGGTTGCGTTGTTTTCGGCGAACGTACGGCGAGATACGCCACCAGTTCCATCTCTATAACTACGTCCCACCATGCACGCGAATTTGAACCGTTCCGGGGGACTACTTAGGATGCGCGTTGGGGACGCCAGTGGGATCGCAGATTTGCAGAGCTACACCAATGAAAGTGTCATTGGTCCCACGACACCGTTGCTACTCTTGAGTCGTGATGCGTAGAGCGAAGCCGAGTGTAAACACAACCAAGGCAACCAACTGGTGTGCGCTTGGTTCACTCGCCTCGAGACTAGCCGAGAGTTCTTCGACTCTGTCTAGAAGCCTTTGTCCGATCAATGCTGCTGTTTCCAGGTCCTCCTGCTGGCGTTGTACCAACTCGCGCAACGCGACAACCTCCGTTTCATCATCTCTATTCTTCTCGCCAACGCCTTGCGCAGTCGCCCTGCTGCGGCATCCATCGCCCAAATTCAAAACTTCGGGAACGTCCAACTCATGTACAGATCCGGCACGACCTGATCGCTCCGCCACCGGAACATCAACTGGAATAGTGTCCTGGTGGGAGGGCATCACCTTCCACACGCACTTGGGTTCTTCAGAATTTGAAACCCGGTCAGGTACCGAGACGGGTCTGAGAAAGCATGAACAGCCGGGACCGTGGAGCAAGGCTTCAGATGGTACATTTGCTAGCATGACTCCTTGTTCGCAACCAGCCTGTGTCACGTGCAGACCTCTACAAGGGTGCTGTGCCTGGTAGGTATGCGTACCCGGCTCTCCATTCTTGATGTGAGTGATGATTACTATGATTACCCTTTGTTCACCACGTACCACCACGTACCAGCCGCCCACGACCACCTGCTGCGCAGTATCTCTCACACCTTCTTTTGCCTTCGTTTTTTTGCGACTCGATTCGCCGACTCGCATCTTGGCACATATCGATGAAGGACGATCTTCGAGTTGACGACGTACCGGTCGGATGGGTACCTTTCGATCCTATCAACTTATCCTCCATGAGTGCACGGGATATTCCGCAAGATGTAGCAAAACTTTGAGCCGTTGGTATTGTGCGACTCCTCTGCCTTGCCGACGAGGATGGTGCGCGAAATACGCGCTGGTCAGGATACGTGTGGATGGATACTGGCGCTGTTCACAGCGGGGGAGCTTTCGGCGCCCTGCACTCGGTCAATCGGGGGCTTGTCCAGGCCGTGAGGTTACAATATTTGAATGCGTGCAGCTCCACATGCGACAGAGCGAGAGGCAGAGGCGAGTGAGCGAATGATGACTCACGTGAGCGATCGGTTTTGCACGAACCGGCACTGTTTAGGCCGCCCCTCACGTTCCAACGCTCACGTTCCACCGCACACGTGCAGCTGCACACACGGGCCCACACAACCCCGCGGATCCTTGTGGTATCTTTTGACAATTGCATCTGGCGGCTCTTTTGGTGGCGCTACTGCCTCCTGACGTACCCATGGCCTCTTTTCCTCCTCGCCCCCCCCCCCCACCCCGGCCTCGTCCTCCTAGCGAACCCTGGGAGGATGAAAGCTGGAGCACGGAGCGCATTCACTCGTTGGGATCGGAGCTGCTTGCGTGGTGTACCGAAAAATATAAGAGCATCACCCGCAGCAGTGATCATGTGGGGGCACCTTACGTCATCCTCGGTGCCATGGCCATGACGGCCTTTGCTGCGCTCGGACTTGTGGCTGCCCTCCCAACGAAGGGTCGAGGAGTTCTGGTAAATTTTGGGGGGTTTCTTCTGCCCGCCCTGTCAAATATCGGTGAAATCGATACAAAGGCCGACAACAAGCCGCTCTTCACTGGATACTGGGTGAGCAGGGTCAATGTCCATTCGAACTTGCTTGTAACGAAGGTTTCTGGAGGAAGAGGTAGCTAACCCTTGTGCTTCGTATTTACTCGCAATCGGGGAGTCCTGTGCGTGTGGCGGTGTAACTCTCTCGTGGCATAGTCTAGTCGGAGAGCTGAGTCCTCCTTGTAGGCTAGACTACAGTATGTTGACTCCGTTTGGTACTCTTTGACACAGCGCAACAGGGTGGGGGAATGCTGATGTCGACGAATAAATAAGAAGGTAGGAAACTACAGCTCTCCATCCGTATCGATCTTCCTCTACATAGAGTCTGCAGACTGCCGAGTAACAACAATAATAATAGCGAAATACTTGTACGACTGCTGTAGCCGCTGCTGTCGAGACTGCCACATTCCCTTTCGGCGTTCTTCCAAGCCATGTGGCAGATCTCCCCAGAGAGTGTTTTCGTAAAGAAAAGCAAGCCGATCGGCTTTGATACTCCATCTACCAGCAAGCCGGTGAGCTTCGACTACCAGAAGTCAAGTAGGTTCAAGACGTACACCCACAGGTGTTATCCCTCCGCGTACACGTTTTTTTCGAAACAGAGCGAACCATGAGACGGCTCGTGGACAAAATATCTAGGAGCCGTCATGATTTGCTGGCATACATGCGGAAGAAGACAACTATTAACGTGCCATCCTTCCATGACCTACTGCGCTACTGCTATGCGTGCGCTCTCAAATGTCTCATGTACATGCTCTTGACGCAGGTTGTGTTTGGGCTATTTTTTTTACTCGACGGGGTCTTGCCGGCGATCACTCCCTGCTACTTCTCCACCAAGGCCTGCGTGCTCATCTGGGCTTTCTCTTCCGCGCGCCCGTACGGTGGTCGGCCTGTTCTCAACCGTGCTTTCGATATTAACGACAGCAACGACAGCGATCACAAAGACGCAATGGTCATAAAGGCGTTGAGGCCCTGGGAAGAAGTGGCGACCGAAAAGGGAATTTCACGGAAAGCTTTCCGTCTCGCGGCCATCATTTTCACCGTCACGGCTGGAACGGTTGTTCTGGGGATCTGCTACTTTTTCGTCCTCACAGTGGAAGGCCTTTACGCCGGCCTGTCGACCTCGACCCAGGCAAGGGTTTGCGTTCTCGCCGGAGCTTGCTGGCCCCTGTACGCGACGTTGGTCGGTCGAGCCCGGAGCGAAGCCGCCGCCGTGGCCAAAGGAAGCGGCGGTACCGAAGGAGCCGAGAAAAAAAGGCAAGGGCCTGCAGCCGTGCAGTGGCTATCCTACTGGCCGATGTTCGCGCTCTTTCTGGCAATCCTTGACCCAGCTATGGGGTGGTTGCCCCACTTCTACTCTTTCAAGATGGTGGCACTCGCGTTCCTTGCCCTGCCTCAGACGCGTGGGGCTTACGTAATCACGTCGCTTGTCCTGTACGGCAACGATCGGGGCACCGTTGGCAGCGGTGGTGGTGATGAGGCTTCGTTTCGTGGGGGACAGGGGGAGCACAAGGTCAGTTGCGGTGCTCCCGCTGTTGTCGCCGTTGATTGAGAAGGAAGGAGGGGCGACTCTGTTGTTGTGTGTCCATGCACACAGAGTACGGTAGGTCGACGACATGGCAGAGCTGGGTGGCTACCCTCGGTCAATCTGTTTGCGAAAAGGCTTCGGCACTACTGTATAAGGGGCGATATTGCTGTGTGCGATATTTGGGGGAGCTTAGCTTCGCATCGTACGCGTGTGCTTGTTTTGTTTGTGAAATGAGACTTCCTGTCCGATGCTTTGACGCAGCAGTACTTGGTTGTCGATATAAATCCTGAGCCTTGGTGCTCAGCAGCGGCTGCACGAAGCACCAAGACTGGAGAGAGCATCCACGGCGATGCCGTAGCTTGCGTGTGAGCTCCACAGCACAATATAGACAATGATGACATCCAACAGCGTGTGCTGCTGACCCAATAAACAAGCTCAATTCATTGCGCAACAAGCTCAATTCATTGCGCCCGTTTCGTGATTTAATCGCGATGCACTACCCGGACTCCGCTTGGGAGGGGGCTGCTTCATGCGGTGCCCAAGTTTGCACCCAAAATCAAGCCATTCACACAACGTTTCACTTTGACACGGGGCGGACCGCACGCCATCTTCGCACCAGAGGGTTGCTAGAAGCGGTATTCACCAATTTCGGAGCGCTGATCTTGCTACTCGTGGCACAGAGCACACCCCTGGCTTTGCTCGAAGCTAGCCAGGCCCGTGCGTATAAAAATTGAATCCCCAAAAGCTGGCGTACCTTCTTCAACCGTACTAAATACAAGTACGTTACACCGTCATCCGGTGCGACATTTTTCGAGTCCAGTACTTCACATCCCGAGTGTGCGTCGCGGCAGCACTCTCGCTCCTTCCTCCCGATTCCATGCTACAGTATGCTGCCATGCCCTCATATGCAAGACAAGGCAGTCAAAGGAATTCCAAACAGCTCAAAATCGGCAGGCGTTCAGCCCCGGAAATACGTCACTTGCGCGCAAGTGCCAGGCATACAGAGACGTAGCTACCCTCGCGCCATCGCGTTCCCTCAGCTCGAAACCTTTCGTCGGCCTACGCTCTTCAACCGCGACATTACGGCCCCCCTTACACGCAACGTCTTCGGGTCAGAGGGGTCTATCGAGTTGACAAGGAGTGCCAGAAACGCCTCCTCCTCCGTTTCGTCGGCGTCAACCGGCCCCAATCCACGGCTCAAATCGATATCCAGCCCCGTTGTCGGTGGGGGTGGGGAGAAAGGCGGTAATGACGACGATGCTTCGACAGGTGTATAGGCAGCAGTAGCAGCAGCAGCAGCAGCAGCAGCAGCCGCAGCAGCAGTGGCTGCAGTGGCATCGATGGCCCTCGGCGTGTTGTGGGCGCGGTCTTGGGTATCGGGAGTTCTCGACGCAAGCAGACCAGCAGCGGCGGGAGGGTTGCCTTGTTTGGGACACGACCCGGGTGTGCCGAGCGTGGGTGCAGCGGCAGCGGCAGCCTTGGCCAACAAAGCGAGTTCCGTCGCAGGGGTGGAGGGCGTGGCCGGGGACCCAGGTGCTGTCGGAGGCGGCGGCACGACACGACTGCCGCCGGTGAGTCCGGCGGAACTGGCACCTGGCAGACGCACAAATGCCGCAATTCGTGATAGATAACCTTCGTCCCGTGCCGGCGGCAGCTTGCCGTCTGGCGCCGTGTCTTCGCGTGGTCTCTTCCCTGGTTGAGCAGCGCTGCTGCTCCGAGCGGTTGCGACCTCGGCAGACATCTCTTCCGTCGGAGCATCGGAAACAGCGCCAAAATTAGCAACAGCAGAATCAGCACTACAACCAGCACCGCCAACGCCAGCGCCAACAGCATCAGCACTCGTTGTTGCGGAATCATCGGTGGTGGCGGCCCCTTGATTCCCTCTGCTTCGTTCTCCAACCGTCATCGGGACAGATTCTGCTGCGCCGTTTTCTGCGCCGATTGGTCCAAGCCCGTCCGCGAGCGGGTCGATCCCTTCTTCTCTCTCGGCCGCGGTGTACGTTGCCGATGCAGTCGCCAGTGCCGCCGCCGACAGATGAACCATGCCCGCCGCTGTTGCCGTTGCCGCCGCCGAAGTGGCGGTAGTTCTTGGGGGGCTGGAGGCGTCAGTTTGCGTGGCCCACTGAGATATACAAACGTACATAGGGCGAAAAAGAGAGGCATCAAAAACAACGCCAAGTGGTTTTGTTCTGGTTTGTTTTGGTTGAAAGGAATGACGGTCGACGCAAAATACCAACGCAGTTCCAACCCGTAAGAGACTGCACGTAGACAGCCTGACGACTGACGGATGATGATCCCAAAAAGCATGGCGCTGACTGCTGTCTTCCTTTGAGACCGTTCCTCTCCTGCGGTGTCTTGTCAGACTCCTCCCGGTCAAACCGTTACCCCTGATAGACACATTGCACCCCGCCAATGCCTTCTCGCCACACCCACCAATTCCTGGTAGCTCAGCATCCCCGCCAGTTTGTGTCTGGCGCAAAACCGTCTCGTCCGCTGCCCCATATCGCCGAAGCTGGCCGAGTAGCTGCACCCTTCAGCCTCGCACTGCGTCGGCGTGTTGTCCACCATGCCTTCCTGCCAAAGAAAAGAACAAACAAGAAAAAACAAGGTGTCTATGTATCACGACAACAACGGGAGGGGGGGCAGAAAGAAATTACAACAACAGTTGCTGTGGAAGAGGCGGGGAGAGCACCCAGCTGGCAAAGAGCCGCGAAGTTACTCGTACAAGCGGCGAGAATCGAGACAAAAATATGGGCGTTTAACACCCAATAGGCGTCCTCGTAGGGTATCCCCCGAGAGCCTCTGATGTCGACGTTACCCCTCCACCTGCTCGTGCCAAAGGAAGGAAATCACCAAAGAATGGTCTCTACTCGGTGCTGCACCGCGATTTGATTCGCGCTGCCGCTGCACGAAAACGCGCGCACGTACATCGGAACACACTCCCAACTGATGTACACCTCCACAAGGCCAACCTCGCAAAAAAAACAAAAAGATAACACAAAACACGCTGGGTACTAGGTACACACAGCCGCACGCACACACTTGAGGGCGTGTTCAAGTTGTCCCGTAATAAGACCGTCGTCTTTTCAATTGGTCAGCCATCACGCGCGGCCGAAGGTACTCCAAGAACGCATACACGCACTAAATATATCTCCGCAGTCCCGTGTCGGTGGGGCGCGCTGACTAGATTTCGTGCTCCACTTTTCTTGCCCCGCTGCAAGACCTATCGGTCAGCTGGTAGGCGCGGTAGGTAGGTAGAGCTCTCTGGACCGGGATCGGCACGTGTTGGTGGCACCGGCGAGGCTGAGGCTGTATCATAAATCCTATGTTCCTCCGCCCGTACATCCACCAGACAAAGAAGAAACAAACGCACACACCTCTTTGTGGTCATCGCAGAAAGATCCTCCGCGGGTGACCCCGGGGTAGTTGAACGCTCCGGGCGCGACGCACCCGCGAAAGCGGCACCTTCTCCCCGCGTTGTAGACCATGCCCTCGAGCGCGTGCGGCTTGCAGTACTCGCGTGACTTGCACGGAAAGCCGTAGCTCGGGGTCTTCTCGCACCCTGGGTGCCTGCACGTCTTTGTGCGCACCTGCCCCTCGCCGCCGAGGGAAAGCAAAAGGGATTTATCGGAAGAACCGCAAAATCGCACACCGGTACAAATGCATAGAAGGATGATTGGTGTTGTCTTAGCAGGTGGAAATTCCACGCAGGCGCGGGTAGCTTCAGCAGAAATACAAAGGTGAAACGAGGGGACGTAGCGCGGGGCGCGAGCGGGGGGGGGGGGGGGCCCCCCAATGGCAAAAAAAACCCTTGGGGAAAAAAAACTAATCCCCCCTTTACCCCCCCGGGAAGCACCCCCCAACGGGCCGAAGTTCTCCAAAATTGCCCCACTGGAAAGCCCGGCCTTTAAAGCCCCCTGGGCCTGGCCCCCGCAAAAAATTGCAACCCCCACCCCCCAAAAAAACCTGGTGGAAACCCCCCCTGCCCCCTCCCCCCCCCTTTGGGCACCGGGGAAAGGAAAGGGTTCCCCCCCTTCCCCCCCAAAGAAAACGGGCGGTCCCAACCCCCCCCCCCAACCTGGGAAAAGTTGTTCCCCGGCCGCCTCCCGGGCTCCCAGGGCTGCCGGGATCCCAATTTTCCGG